GCTGTGGGATCCAGGCCCTCAGCTGGATTCTTTGTGTCCTTACTGTGTGGACAGACGTCCTGCACTTTTTGTACTTGATTCTTTGGGTGACTGTTATAAATAATCTTATAAATTATGTGTCCTATACTGTTTGCCTTGCAAATCCTCACTGCAACAGTATGCTACTCACACATAGCTTGTACTCGAACTTTTATAAAGGAGTGGAATTTGGAGGCCACCTATTGAGTCCTGTCATTTCACACCAGGGTCCTAAGGATAACTGACTTGTCTAAAGACCCACAGCTGTGAGTGGCAGAGCCAGAGCTTAGAATCTGGATTGCCAAGGTTCCTAAGGTTTGGCCGGCATGCTTTCCACCACTGCTGGTTGTGTTGAAGAAGGACTATATAGTAAGTAAAGGTAAGAGTCCTGTAGCTGAAGGACCTGGCCCCAAATCTCCAGACCCCACCCAACAGTCTGGGTCATGCAGCTTGAAATGTCCAGGATTTAGTGCCTCCCTTGTAAGAAGGCAAGAGAGTAAATACTTCTGAAGTCTCTCTAAAAATGATTAACAGACAATGATAGAATTAATTGTAATGAAAACAAACTTGTCATTGGCTCAACTCTACTAATTTCTCATTTTTTAGAAAAATATTAGTCTTTTAAAATGTATTTCTAGATCTTTATTGACTGAATCCTAATGGAGTATATATGTCATTGACAGAAACAGATAAAGCACAAATAACCAAATATACATTTGTAACACATTCTGATAAATATAATCAGAGAAAGGAAGGAAACTAAGGTAAATAGAAAAATAAAACAGAATTGCCAGTATTAGAGAGAGATTTTCCTAAGGAAGAAAGTGAAAGCTCAGACATCAAGGATGACCAGCGCCAGCTCTGTGACTTATTGACTGAAAAATGAAAAGTACTGAAGAAAAGGTTGAAGAAGAAAGTGGCGGAGAGGTCATTGAGAAAACTGGTTATTTTTTTCCCACCTCTTTTGCTCAGTTCACTGTCCTGTGGATTTGTAAAGAAGCCGCTTTGAGCTGGTTTTCTCTTCTTAGATTTCATTTTCAAAATTGCTTCCTGTGACAGAAAGGCTTATTTCTCACCTGTTACCCATCTCCTCTTCCTTTGTGGAGCTGAAGCAGTTTGGTGGAAATTCCTCTTTTCTTTTGTCCCTCCCTGTGCCAGGGAATACGTGTGACTTCGCTGAAGCTCCAGGCTTTATTTTGGAACCACTAAAGACAGACCATGGTAAGGGACAGGGGAAAGGGCAACGAGAGGAATAAAGACATGCCATGTACAGGAGCCTGATAACCCTAACCGATGTAAACATCACAAGCCATAAGGCGTGCTAAGACAGTATGAACAAGTCTGAAAAAGGGGATTGGGAATCAGAGGGGAAGTAGAGGAGAAGCGGACGAGGATAAAAGAAAAACCAAGCTGTGGTATGTAGGTGTAACCACTCCCCCAGAGGATTGTACACTACATGAATAACAAACATGTACTCATAAAATAAAATAAAGTAAAAAAAGAACACACCAGGATAGTCAGCACTCTCTGATCTCACATACTCCAGTCACCATCCTGAAACTATTGCTACTTCAGTGAAGCGAGCTCTCGTGTGACTAAGGCGTCTTGCCTTAAGCAAATCCTGAGAGATGGTCTGGAACGCAGCGTGACCTTCCATTCACCAAAGCATCCTGCAGCAGGAGGAAACCCCACCCCATCCCACGCCAACATTCCGCTCGCCCCCTACGTTCCCTGGCCACTAGGTGGGGGTATCTGACCTGCTCCTGGCTTTGATAACCTGTTCTAGCAACGTGTCCTTTTAGGATAAAGCATAGAAAAAAATTTCTTGCTGAAAAGATGGAGCCATGAAATCAAAGTAGGTTGCATTCCCAAGTCACTGAGTCATTGAGGACAGCTGCCTACGATCGTTAGCCAGTTTTGTAACTGCAGTACCTGAGCTAGAAGTAAATCTTGTGTTAAACCACTTCAACCAACTCTAGCTTGTTTGGGGGAACTGTATTCGTGTCCTATAACTGGGGTCAGGGGCTTGGGAACCCCAAGAATAGTATGCTAAATATAGTGAACGTGTGCTGATGAGCATTTCATTGACAAGTGGATGCATAGATTTTAGTGTATTTTCAAGAGATTATGATCTAAAGATTAAGAACCATTGATTTACAGGATAAACTCTAAATGCTGTCTTCTTAGTGTTTATTCAATTGTACTCCCTTTTGATGTTCCCTCTTGTCTGTCCTAAATTCTATTTCCATGCAAAGAAAAAAATGTGGGCTTTAAATTCATATGATTTGAGTCTGAAGTATAGCAAAAAGGTTTTTTATAAGCTATATAATCTCATGCAAGTCGCTTTGATTCTCTAAGATGGTTTCCATATATATGAAATGAGAAGAATGCGAGATTAATATGAGTCTTACATGTGATTTTATACATAATTTCTAAGTAACTATCATTTCACTTTTATCATAACGCATATATTTTTACTTAGTTGCTTATGAATTTGAGGGCTAGAGTCCTAAATTTGAAGCTCTGGTGGGCTAGAATCAGGACTTACAGTTCATTGTTATTTTCTATACAGCACTATTTCCCTATGGAAATATGATCCATGGAGATAATTTAAACCTCTTTCTAGTGGCCAAATTCAAAAAGATAAAAAAGAGAAGTTAATTTGAATCATATATTTTATTTAACCCAATATGTCAAACACTGATAATTTCAATATGCAGCTAGTCTACAAACTTACTCAACATCTTTCTTTGTACAAAATCTTTGTAATCGTCTATTTTGTACATGCACCATACCTCAATTCAGACTAGACATCTTTCACGTGCCCAATAACCACATGTTGCTGATGGCTACTGTACTAACCAGGCCATATTGAGTAGTTCAAGGGCCAATATTTTGATTTTGGCTTTCTTATCCATATGCTGTGCTTTAGGCATACTGGTTTTTTGACCATTCTTTTTGAATGCTTTACTGCATTTGATGTGCCAGTAGCTTCATATATCTCATGAAATATTTACTGTGAATTAAAATTTCTTTTTTTCTTATCTTCTGTTTCAACAAGTTCTCCATGCTCAGGTTGTATTCTGCATGCTCCACAGAGCCTCTTCTGTTCCTCATCCCATTGCATCTTTCCCTCCTCCAGAGTCATACCCCTTATCTCACGCTGCACTTCACAGTTTATCTTCTTTGCCATAATTGGCTCCAAGCGCAGGAGTGTCTACTCGTTATTATGCTGTGTCTTATAAAACCATCTCTATCCTTTAGAAATATGCAATGATCTTGGTAGACTACAGGGAGAAAGACCAGAGGACCAATATGATATAAAGAATATTTTTAATAAGTACCTAATAATGATATAAAGCAATATTGCCTAAATGTTTTCCTGGGACAATAATTCTGCAATTCAGCCTCTCACCTCAAAGACATCTCCATGGATAAATAAATTTTTAGAAAGGGTACTTTAAGAAGGTTGGTCAGATTTTTGTTGAAACAGGACTTCTCTGAGTCTTCAGTACGCTAATGTAGAATGGTATTCTCTAGCATCAGTGTGCAAGTACAGTATGCGATCATTCTGTATCATTGTTGAGAAAGAAACCATTTTCCTTGGAACAACTTTAATGATGACAGTTTTATAAAACCACAATTTGAACACTTAGAACTCAATGATGGTTTTAGGAATCAAAACCTGAGTAGAGGGGTGACAGTGCAACTTTCCAAATTCTCACAGGAGAGGTGGGGATAAGTAGAGATTGGGAGGTGTTGATGCCAACCTCAGGAAGATTTCGATGGTGACTAGTCCTCTGGTAATTCTTAGTTATTTTATCTCAATGTCCTCTGAACATTCTATGTTCTGTCTCATTTCTTTGCTCATGCTAATCTCTTAGCTTGAAAAATCCCATTGTTCTCCTTCTACAAAATCTGTCTCATAACTTATGCTCTAACTTAAACGCCACTTCTTTAATATATCTACCAGGTCATCCATCCATATCTGAATTCTCCTTTCCTCTACCCTCCTCAACTGAATCTTTACGGTGGACACTTTCAGAAGTTACAAGACACAATCACTAGCATCTTGGTTTTCCCCACAAGACATTCTAAGTTCTTTTACTTTCTACTTCTGATCACATTGAATGTATAAATTAGCATACACTAATTCTTCAAAGACATTCGTGGAATGAATAAATAAATAAATATAAAAAGATTTGTGCCTTGTTGTCCTCATCAGATAAGTTGGAAACTTCATCACACAGGAATTGAGTACCTTATATTTTTATATAATTTTTTAATTTTAGCATAGTTCTAGGTTCACAGAAAATATGAAGAGATAATACAGAGAGTGCCCATATACCACTCTCGGTTTATCCCATTGTTACCATCTTATTTAGTATGGTACATCCATAAAAATGAACAATGTTTATTACTCACTTTTCCTCATTTTCTCTAACATCCTTTTTCTGCTCCCAAAATATCCAATATTTATTGATATTTTGGGTTTCTCAGATTGGAGAAAGCATACAATATTTAACCCTTTGTGCCAGATTTATTCCACTTGGCATAAAGCACAAAGGAAGTAAGTAAGTGAAGGATAGTAGTGTGTGACATTTTTAGTAGGTTACAATAAAGCTTCGTAAGGAAAAGAAGAAAGGGACTCAATGGAGAAAGAAGATATTTCCAAGAAGAAAATCAGAACAAAGGGAAAGTCAGGGGATTAAAAAAGGGAGAGAAAAAAATTTCCGTGGGGAGTGGGGTGTCCACAGATACAAAGTAATTAGCAAATGAGAACTTAATATTTGTTCCACCAGTTAATATTTTTGGAGAGATAGCAAAGTGCAAATCTTACTTAACAAGACTGAGCAAGCTGATTTACCCTAACTGGAAGAACAATTTAGTCTTCCTTATTATTCTTCCTTGATTATTAAAAAATTTACTTCATTTGGAAATTTTAGAAGGATCATCGACTTCCTCAGCTCAATTCCTTACATTTATTCTGAGGATAAATTCATGGTTGCTGAACTGTTCTTGAAAACCTGACCACTAAGAATAACTTTAATAGCTTTCTTAAACCATGGGTAAAATAAAGCATAAATCAAAGGATTCATGGCTGAGTTATAATAAGCACACCACACACAAATCTCATAAATATAGGCAGGGGTGATGAAGCCCATAAAAGCATCAATTAATGAATCAATGCTGTACGGTAACCAGGAGATCATAAATGCTACCACCGTGATCCCCAGGGTTTTAGCTGCTTTTCTCTCTCTCTTGGCAACTCTGGCTTTGTAACTTTCCGAGGATGAGTCCCCTTTGTTACTAGTATTTTCAATCTTTTTAGCCTGTTGTCTAGCCACGAGGAAAATATTACTGTATAAAATTATCATAATAAGGGTAGGTATAAAGAAAGACAGAAAATCGATCAACACCCAGTTTTGATTTACAACTACCTGACAACCTCCTACGCAGTTGAGGGCACTGGATAATTCCTCCAGCCCATCGTCGTAGACACCTGTGTAGAACACGGCACCACTGTACACCAGGGGCAGAATCCAGGAGACAGCGATGCAAATGCCTGACACAGACACTGTGAACTTGGTGGGGTAGACCAGAGGGTCGGTAACTGCAATGTACCTGTCAATGGAGATGAAGCACAGGTGGAAGAGAGAAGAGTAGCAAAATGCCACATCACAGCACGTGTGGAAAGTGCAGAAACTGCTCCCAAAATACCAGCAGCTCTCCGCGGACCTGACCATGCTGAAGGGCATCACAGTAACGCCTACGAAGAAGTCAGCGCAGGCAAGAGAGGCGATGAGGAAATTGGTTGGTGAGTGCAGCTGCTTGAAATGGAGGATGGAAATCATGACCAGGAGGTTCCCTAAGACAGCCAGTACAGCCCCAAAGCCAAACACCACATAGAGAAGCACCCGGGGCCCGGGAGAGTAGGGTGTTTTCACACAGGACCCGTTCACGTTCGGGAAGCAGAGCTGCAGAGCCACAGGTGGGGACGAATTGCTGCTCATGATGCTGCTGTTTGCATGTTCAGAAGTTCTGCCTTTGACACTGAAGAGAGCAGAGGGGTGCAATTTTTCAATACTTTTAGGAAAAGAAGTCCACACCAATCCAGCACAATGACTGAAAAAATTAACAGACTTTCATACCAATAAAATTTTTCAAGTTTTCATTTTCATGTAAATTCAAAATGTTTTCTAGAAACATAAAATCCAAAAGACCTCCTATTTTCTACAAGACTAATGGAGACTGGCTTCAAATACTAAGTATCTCAGTTATTCATTTGATAAAGTTCCCTTTCGCTCATAAATATGCTTTTATCTGAGCAAAAGTCACTGCCTTGCGATGCAGTTCTGCAGTCGATGGATCACTTCCTCCGGATTTATGCCTTTACTGCCTAAAGGATGCCACCCATCCAGCTAAATAGAAGCCCGCCACGGGAATGAAATCCCTGTAGTGCAAGGCGTGAACTTGTAAGATTATTTTTAACTCTGATTGTCAGGGAAGCTAATAAACAAAAATAATTCTGTTTTACAATACTTTCAATGACATTTGTGTACCTCAGGTAAAGATTTCTTTTTCTTCCTGTATAGACTAGAATCCCTCCTATGTCTTCCAAAATATACAACCTAACTACCTTACTGGATTTTTATTATGAAGATACAATAGGGTGCAAGCTTTCAAGGCCAACTTGGCTGTTTCTATCCTGTTAAGAAACATATCTGCATCTGCAGTAGCCACCACAAAAAGGAAAGATCAAATGCAGGGCTGGGGGATTGGAGATTGATGAAATGTATTATACAAAATCCTTAAGAAACACAGTGTTTTTAAAATTTTTAATATTTTTTATTAGTACGTGTTTGAGTACTTAATGTTTACATTCCTTTTGGGAAATTGGTACAGTACATAATACATCTTAATTCCTTTTTCTAACCCCTTTTCTTTTCCTTCCTCACCTTTCTCTCTTCATCCCCTTTTTCACTCTCTCTTTTTGGTGCATGATTGCAGTACCTAATGGTTACTTTGCTTGTATTGAGTTGTCACAGGTACATAATACATCTTCATTTCTTTCTTCATCTTCTCACTTTCCCTTCTCTCATTCTTCCCTCTGTCTCTTGATTCCCTTACCCTTTGAGGAACATCTGTCTCCTATTTCCCCTTAAATGCAGCAACAGTGATGAGGCGCCGGCAGGGAGGACATCAGTTCCTCTCTCAGGGAATTGTCACATTGGATACACCTGCAACCTGTCTCCATCCTGTGCCAAATGAACAATGAACTCTGCTTACACAATTGTTTGTGTTTCTTATTGATTGGACTTGCTGTTCCTGATGCTAAAGAAGTATTTAAAAATAATGACCAGAAAGTAGGAAGATAAAAAGAATTCATCAGAAGCACTCACAACCCCAGAATAGTGGAGCACCGCAGAGCAAGAAAAAGCATCTCCAGCCTTCCTGAAGATGAATTCAAGATTCTGGCAGTGCAAAGTTGCAACTTCAGAGACACTTGTGAATTTTCTTTGCCCACTGTAAAAACTGAGAGGTATTTTTATGAATTCGACTGACTGTCTGATCACTAATTAATAAAATGAACACTTTTAACCAAATATTTTTTCATATTCCTCCTACTATTTTCTGAGCATCTGATTTTGTGAGATGATATCAATTGCTTAGGTAAGCAACAGTCTGTGCCAGCCTCTCTTGACTTGAGTGCTATCGACATTTAAGTTCCAATAGCCTTTGTAAACAGGAAGCTGTTTTCTGGGTTGTTATCTGAGCAGCATCCATGCTACTGCTGATAGATGTCAGTAAAACTTCCCCTTTTGCCAGCCATAAATGTCAACAGACATTGACAAATGACCTCAGAGTGAAAAATTAATCACCATTGGGTCCATTGTTCTAAGTATTTACTGTAAAAAGGACACAGGGATAACTATCTCTAGAAATAATTTTATACCTCCCTCCCATCTCTCGGAGATTTAGTCATTAATTCATTACTCTAAACATGCTTAGTAAATGCATTTGATGGGTCTTAAGTAAAGAACGAAACACAATCCTCATCTTCATGAGACTTCAGGGAAAGATGACGTTAGTGTGAGGTTCACCTGGACTGGACCTTAGATTTGTCCTCGGGACTGGTAGAGTATGCTTCTGGTTGTGCCTGGGGGGTCACGGAGGCATGGTCTTGGGACTATGTCTAGCTCTCACCCCCTGTGCATGGGCAGTCTTCCCCTGCTCTGCTTCCCAGATGTCGTTAAATAAGCAACTTTGCCCCCTGCCCCATTCCCTTTGCCCCGATGCTTCTGCATGGTGGCAGCTGATCGTGGACTGAAACTCCAAACAAATTAAACCTCTTCTCCATTAAGTTGTTTATGTTGAGTATTATATCTTGCTTATGAGAAAACTGACTAATACAAAAAATTGGTAGCAAAGAAGTGGGGTCATTGCTGTGACCATACCCAACCATGTGTTTGAGGTCTTTGGAACTGGATTGCAGGGGAGAATTTGGAAAAGTTTGGCGATGTGGGGTAGGGACGCCTTAGAATACTATGAGCAGAGCCTGACAGGCGCTTCTGGTCAGAGCTCAGAAGACCGGAATGCTGATAGGAATTCAAATATTAAAGGCCAGGCAGAGGAGGTTTGAACGGGAGCAAGGACTCCACTGGGAGTTGGACTACAAGCATGTGTGTTATGCTCCATCAGAAATTTTGTGTGTATTTTGCCCATGTGCTGAACATTTGCAGGCAACTGAGGTTGAGAGCATTAGACTAATTAACCAGGCAGAAAAATTACAGGCCAGCCTAACACTTAGGCTGTGTTATGGGTACTGCTGGCTGTGAGCATAGTGAGAGTAAGGGATAGAACACAGAATAAAAAAAATTGAAAAACTTATTTTGGCTTCACTTGTGTAAAGTTGGGACCAAAGAGAGTATGAGTAATAAAGAGATCGGTGTCATTAAAAAGACACCATACCCTTTGTACAGGGTCAAGGAAAAGATGCTTTGAGGACATCTTAGAAATCAGTAAGACCCCGCCCACTGCAGGACCAAGTCTACAAAAATGTCAGCAATTCTTTTGGGAAAAGAATCACTGCTCAAGAAGGCACTCTAGAATATTGATTTCGAAGATTCATTTCATTGGTCTCGGGCACCCAGGCACTCAGAGACCCCTGTACCATGGTCTCCAGGGATCCCTGATACTGTTTCTGCTGACAGTACACCTTGCTGTCTTCCACGTGATACTGGCTTAACTGGCATGCAGAATGGGAGAGTTGTTCCACCCGGATTTTAAAGGAAGGCCTTGGAGCCCGGGCAGGGAGTCCTGGAGAGGGCAGTGCACGAAGGTGTGGGAATGAAGCCAAAGGTACAGGGGAGATTCTGGGAAATTTGAGATACCACAAATGTGGAACATCTGCTGAGGAAAGGTGCAGGTCTTGAAAAGAACACATCCAAGAGAGGTCATGTGGGCTGTCATTGGCAAGGCCACAAGGCTGGGGGTCTCCCGGAGTCTTTGGGACTCACATTTTACCACCACGTGCCCCAAATACCAGATATGGAGCTACAGGAATTAATGTTCTCTTCTTCCTGCTTGGTTTCTGTCTTCTTTTGGTCTAATCCTTTTCTATTCCTCCATTCTTCCCTTTTGGAATGGGACTATTTGCACTCTGCTGTTATACACTGGGATTATGAAACTTGTTTTTTGTCTTTACAGAGGTTCACAGAGAAGAATTTTCCTGAGATGCTAGAACTGTTGAGTCTTTAAGGAGGAGAATATGAGGTTTCTGGTTATACATGGGATAGCTGTTTTGTTCAGCAAAATTGTGTACTTGTGATTATCCTTCTTTGGAGATTAATTACAGTACAAAGAGATATGTTTGAGTATCAGACTGAAGAAGGTTGGGAAGTTGTGGTCAGGGAGGAGCTCAATTTGACTGGCCTTAGAGTCTGCCCCAGGGCTTGGTAGAGCACACATTTAGGTCTGTCTCGGAGAGTCCTGGAAGCATGGCCCTGGGGTCTACATCTGGAGACCCTCACCCTTTCTGCTCTGGCCTCTTCCTTTGCTTTATTTCTCAGCAGCCATGAACTGAGCAGCTCTGCTCCCCCACAGCACCCTTCTTCCGTGATGTTGCTGCCTTTGATCCAGCAGATCATGGGCTGAAACTGTAAGAAAATCAAACCTCTCCTGTTTTAAGTCGTGGGTGTCAGGCACTGTGCTTCAGTGTTGAAGCTGACAAGTACAAGAAACAAACCTGAAACAAGTAAGTAGAGAAATGGAGGTACAAACTCAACTGCTGATTAGCTCTGGGAACGTGAAATGCAGGGCCTGTGATAGCACAGTAAGCATAGTGATGGCAGCTCCAGACAAAGAAGCTCCCCACATTGGGTTAAACAAAAATGCTGCCTCAATACTTGTAAAATATTAAGTACTCTATTTTTTATTATACCATCTAAATTTAATAGAGCAATGTACATTAATTTATATTTGTATGTTTGTACTCGTCCAGTGCTGAGGCGGGCTATAATTAGAGCCTCTTCCTGTTATGGTTGATACATTGTGTCAACTTGGGCAGTGTAGAGGTTTGGCTAAGTGACTCAGCAGGAAGCCAGAGTGCTTACTTTGTATACATCCTGAGCCTGTGGAAGAGGAGGGCATGGAGATTATGTGAGAGCTACAAGCCCCTTAGGTGGGGGTAGCCTGCTTACAATGTAAAGGAAGGAAAGAGGCTGCTTGCTGCCATTACCCCCTTTGCTCTGGCTGCTTTACTGTTCGGCTGCCATTCCCCACTTTGCTCTTATTGCTTTGCTATCTTCTGCCTCAGAGCCAGCATGGACTGAAACCTCCACAAACTGTAAGATAAATAAACCTTTCCTTCCTTAATTTTGGGCATTGGGTATTTTGTCTTAGCAATGAGAGAAAAGTAACCAAGACACTTCCCAAGGCTCTAAACTTCTTGAACAGATACAATTCTTTCAAAATTGTTCATATGACCATCTTCGGTAAATTATTTTTGCAAAACATCCCATCAAAAGTTAGGCAGAAGTTCTGTGCCCAGAGGTAATTGATCCTATCATCCAGGGGAGATTCACAAGTAAACTTTTGGTGCTTGCATCAGACAAAGTTTTGTCTTATTTGTCCACTTGAGCTTTAGTTTGCAGGTTGATGTAACTCCCAAAGGTATTTCTAAAATAAAAGCCCACTAACTAGACCATCTCCCCAGTGACTTAGAGTGTGAACCATTCCTTATGATGACCAAGAGATGAAAGATGTGATAATGATGCCCTGTTGTCATGGCAATGCCCACACTCAGACGATTGTTAATGAGAAGTAGGGGAGAGAATTGTTTCTTACTCTTGGCTCTAGGGACTAGAAGCTAGGAGAAACCACAAAAAGTAGGGTCAAAGTGTTAAACTGTAAATGACGGGCAGGGAGCACTGATTATATGTAATCAAGTTTTCTGAGCAGTGGTCTAAGCAGTTCAACAACTAGTGTATACTGACTCAACCTGATTACCTACCTAACCCATTTGAGTGTGACAAGTATTTGATAAGTTAACTGCTTATGGAGGACTTCGAGTATGATTGGACATGCTAAGAAATCATCTTTCTCCAGTTCATACCTCTACCAAATCTTTCATTCATCTCCTAGTTACACATTGTCTTAGTTACTTTTCTCTCATTGTTGAGACAAAATACCTGATACCCAAAATTCAGGAAGGAAAGTTTCTGGAGGTTTCAGTCCATAATCACCTGGCTCCAAGGCAGGGTGGCACATGGCACAGGGGCAACAGTTGAAGGTGGCAAAAGACAGCAAAAGCAGCAAGAGCAGAAGGCGGGGGAGAGTAAGCCTCTTTTCCTCCCTTATATTGTAAGCCGGCTACCACCTCCTAGGGCTGGTATAGCCCCCACATCATCTCTATGCCCTCCTCCTGCACAGGATGAGGATGTCTACAAAGTGGCCCCTTGCTGAGTTACTTAGTTAAACTTCTAAACTTCTTAAGTTGGCACAATGTATCAAACATTACACACATGATGAAAAACTCATATTTGTCTGGTAAATACAAAGTTACAAGTCTAGGAATTCAAAAGTTCAACATTTCAATCATAGGGGTCTCAAGGTTAAAACTTCAATGTATCCCTATGTGACTATAGCTGCCTTTTCTGCCCCTGGGCAGAGGGGTAATTATAATCTTAAGAGGGTTAACTTTAAGGAAATACATGTGCTGTGTATTCTTTTCAGTTCTTCATTTAACCCTTCTTTCCTGTTTCTATTTCACATGGAGAAAGAAAAGGGAGAAAAAGAGCCAAATAATTCTTTTTTCTTTTTTTTTTTTTTTTTTTTTTGGTTTTTCTCCGGTACCGGGAACCGAACTCACGACCTTGCACTTGCCAGGAAGGCGCTTTTGCCGCTGAGCTAAATCCCCAGCCCCAGAGCCAAATAATTCTATACACATTTGTTCTGCAACAACCTATGACCTTTACTTGGTGGACAGAGCCTCTGTGTATTAAAAATCCAAATCATATTGGTCCACACACTACAAATCTGAATTCGTCAGTAATCTTTGCAGGACCCACCCTGACTCTCCAGGAACCTGAAGCTTGTGGTTATTCTGGTTTGCGCTCTTTGAAGATCTTCCTGATTTCCCATGGGATGTGTCACAGACACTTGGTGTACCTCGAGGTGGGGCATCTGCAGAAAGGGCTGAACCTGACAGCCTCCCACCTGTTCTCTAGGCCATGTAGAATAGCACCTTTGTTCACTGGGTAATGACAACATCAGGTTCCTTCCCCTTCTCCCAACAGTCCACTCTTGCTCCTGCAATCTCCCCACTTCTACCTTCCACCTGCTCAAGAGGAACACAGGGCAGCTCTAAAAGACTACTGAGTAAGGAAACCTAAACAGGGAAACTCACTTGGAACTTTCTATCATTGCTTTCTTCAGTGCAATGGTACGCTGATGGAGTGACATCAGATGCAAAAGCCCTTTTGATTTCCTCCCACACACAGAGACTGTAATCAGGAGTGGGAAGTGGGCAGCTGGAGTGGCTCGCCCACATCATGGTCTGTATGGTGAGCAGGCTTTCCCCAGAGGAGAGACCCACACCACACCACCCACCTTCATTTGTATGGCTGTCACAGAGCATTACCATCGAGCCCCCTTCACAGCTGATCATGGTAGATGCTTCACTCTCAGTGTTCTCTTATTCGATCCCTGCTCCATTCTGGACGGGGAGTGGTGCTGCATGAAGCTAAGGAGAGGGGAGGGAGGAGTGAAATTTGGGTGGTATCTTTCCCTCCTTTAAGTCCCACCAACGGGGTCTGGATGGTGCTGGAACAAGAAAGATGAGAAGAGACAATTTCAAACTTGTAATCACAGTTAGAGTCGACTTTTGAGTGGGCTTTAAATCTGGAAGTTGAGTGGAAAGATATGGGATGTACTTGGATGCTTGACTTATTGTAAAAGTAGGGGAAGGAGGATGAATAAGGCAAGTTTCCATGCTCAAGTAGAGATAATAGTAAAGCCACTCGAAGTGTGTGATGTAACAAGTAGATCCAAAGTATCTTATATCTTTCAATTGGTGAACTAAGACAATTGATATTAACTCTTGGCTTGAAGCTTACACTGTCTACAAATAGAGTAATTACCCTGCTATTTTTTGGGATCCTGTCATGTGGAATATTGTTTTCCAACCCTTTACTTTTAGTCTATGAATTTCTTTTTGGGTTAAATATATTTCTTGAATGCACCATATTGTTGGATTTTGCTTCTTGATCCATTTTGCCAGTCTTTTTCTTTTGATTCATGAGTTGAAACCGTTTACATTGATGGTTATAACTGATATGGATTGGCTTTTCTTTTTCATGTTGTTTTTGTGTTGTTTGTTCCCCATCTTTCTGCTCTGATTAATTGTTTGCCTTGCCTGGCAGTTTCTTTCTATTGGTGTTTCTGTGTTTGTGGTCTTCATTATCTCTTGCTAATATGTTCTTCAGAGCATTCTGTAGAGCTGGTTTGGTGGCTATAAATTTGTTCAGTTGTTCTTTGTCATGGAAGTATCCTGTTTCTCCATCAACTTTGAAAGATAGTTTTGTGGGATACATTGATCTGGGTTGAAGGTTGTTTTCCTTTAGAGCCTGAAATACCTCACTCCAAGCTCGCCTTGATTTGAGGATTTGTGTTGAAAAGTCTGCTATGATTCTGATGGGCTTTCCTTCATAGGTGATTTGTTTGTTTTCTCTAACTACTTTTTAATATTCTCTTATTGTGCTGAATTTCTGGAATCTTGATTATTTCATGCTTTGTTGTAGATTTATTTTAGTCATGGCTGTTTCAAGCTTTATATGCTTCATTTATTTGTATGTCAAATTCTTAATTCATGCTTGGGAAGTCTTCTATGAAGAGATTTTTAATGGCTTTTGAACTGTCTCCAGCTCTCACTGATTCCAATCAACTTATATTGTTCTTCTTTGCTTCATCCTATAGCTGTTGGATTGATTTTTCATGGTATCTTGTGACTTTTATGATATCTTTCTTTTCCTGGTCACTGGTCATGTTCCTGTCTTGTAGATTGATATTCTATCCTCACCTTTGTTTAATCTGCTGCATATACTTTCCATGGAGTTTCTAATCTCCTGCATTTCTGTTTGTATTGGTTTCATGGATTCCATTTCTTGTCTATATTTGGCATTCATGGTTTCCATTGTTCTCTTGAGCTCCTCTATCTGTGTATCTGGGTCTACTTTAATGTCTTTTATTTTAATATTTATTTCTTTTTGTACTTTAGAGATTACTTTTTCTATGGCTTCTTCCATTTGTTTTTTCATTTCTGCTACTATCATTTCAGAATGTTCCATTTGTTTGCTTCCAATTTCTTCTGTCTCTTTGTGTTCTGGACTTGTCCTGAGTGAACTTGGTGTTTAGGATTTTATTTTGCTTGTCTTGTCATTTTGTATTTTCTATTTTACTTTGATTTCTGTGTTGATGCTTGTATATTTATTAGCCTTAATAAATATATATATAAGGTATATTTAATAGCCTTATACTGGTGTCACAGCTCTCCTAAGAGGTGTTTTCCCCCCTGGATGTCTCCTAGATATAGGTAGTTTTTGGTCTTTATGTCTGTCCCAAGAACCTACCTTCCCAGTATCTTAAGTTGCTATCAGTTTGACTTAGGATCCATTGTTTTGGTACTGGATGGACTATGGTAATGATTATGACCCCTTACAAACACAGTGTTTTCATACAAGGGGGAATAACTGGTTATAGCATGTATGACATCCTGGTTAAAGTACTTCAGTTGGCAATAACAACAGACTCAAGTACAACCTGGCTATTGACAAACTGGTAACTATTAGCCTGATATCTATAATAATCATAGGAGGAATGGAACTTATACCAGGAACTTGTATGCAAAGATTTCCCACTTAGTGGAGTGATTTTACACTGTTGTGGAGGGGGTAAAGGCTAGGATGGAGAAATGAATGAGATTAAATATAGTAGGAGCAAGGTTGGAGAACACAGGATAGTCAACCAGGATAGATAGTCAAACCAGGATAATTTTCGGTAATTGTCAGACACAGGAGGGAAGGATTGGAAGAGAAGGCCTAGGAGTTTTGAAGTGAACCAGAAAGAAAGAGACAATATTCACTGGCATGAAAGTATCATAAAGTCAAGCGAGATAGTTGATAAAAGAGAGGAAGATGAGTACAATAAAATAGAAAGGTTATGGATCACCTGTTGGCTCATATTGCTAATGCTACTTGGGATATTTCTGTGCCTCTAGTTCCGCCTGTCCATTGTGTGTGCCTTAGACAGGGTCCTACTGTGTCATTGGTATTCCTGCACATATCCAGGCCCTGAGTCCCGCCAGTGAAGGGAGGGAGGCGTGGGTCTCAGACTTCTCTCACCAGCCGCATGGTCTTGGGTCAATGGAGGAAGGGAGGAACAGAACTCACACTTCTCTCCCTGGCTACACTACCACCTCTGGTTTCTTTATAGAATAAAATTTAATTATGGCACCAGACCTGAAATCTGTTTTAGAGATTTCAGTCCTTAATGTTCTTCCTCAGCTCCTTAAATTCTTGATAAGAGTGTCAAAGCAAAACTCAGGATCTGGAGAACTGTCAGAACTGCCTGGCCTGCAGCTCACACACTCTTGGATTTGGCTGTTTTGTAGTTACCTCGTGGAGGGTGATCTTTGCTTCATTTGTTATGGCAAGCAAGTCCATTGTGAAAGACACTCACAAGAACACCAAAAAGAAAGCATGAATGAACAGAGCTTTTTTGGAGCTGATTGATGGATCGCCTCTAACCCAGAGTCAGAGAAGATGTCTGTCCCACTCTGGGCCTCACATTCGGTTTTAGTACATTTCAGGTTTCCATAGTAACCATAACTTCATTTTCAGGGATCTCACAAGAATGTCACATAATTAGCATAAAGTTTACCTTTCTACCAGGAGGTCAGATAACCAAATTCCAATGACCATAGTGGGTTAGCCTTTAAGCTACTTCCCAATTTGCTCTGTTTGTTTTGTTCCCAATTTAGGGCTTTGCTCTGCCTTAAGCAAGTTGATAAGGGGAATGGGGTATGGTGGTGTCAACTGCAGCTTAAGTGAGCTTTAAGTGACCTCTCTTACTATGAAGTTAAAACCAGAAAAATGGAGTTTCTCTTGCCCTATCACATTCATGAGAAGCTATTATGAGATGATAAATTCACATCTGAAAGGAAACAGAGCCTGAGTTGTGGTTTGATGCATGTAGTGGTTGTCTTGAATTTCTTAATGATGTTATCTTTGAATTCATGCTTTGTTGCATAAATCAAAGGGACAATGGAATGCGTGCGGGACACTTGACACCTAGAATCACCTGTGGTCCTGCATAACACCAGGTGTCCTCCTCCCTGACATATTCTCAGCCACCTGCTCTCCAACCCATGGCAACTTGGGCCCAATTCCCATTTCTGGCTACTCTGCCATCCCCTTCCCACCATAATGCAGGTCTGGAAGCAGATAGGAGAGAGTCATGGTTGGTTGCTGTCTGTAGTCTCCGGGCTGGGCATGGTCTGTTGTCCCCACACCAGGCTCAGGGAGCCACAGTACTTTCAGGGGCTTATTTGCAGGGCCAGGACTCTCACACCCTAATCCATTAATCGAGTGCTTCCTAGTGTCGAGGCTGTGACCATAACAGCGCTGCCTACCTGCCTCTGGTTGAGATGGATGCCCTGTTAGAAGGGCAGATGCCTGGCTCAGCTTCCTTGCCCCTAGGCCGAGATGCTTAGTTCAGCAGGCAGCAGGATGGGAGCCTGGCAGTGTGTGGGCCACATGCATGCTTGGCTGCAGGGCAACCCATGCAGACATCTGTCAGTGTCTTCATTCGCCCTGCAGCAGGACACTCTATAGGTAATGCCAAATGTGCCGTGTCATGGAGATCATAAAAGCAAGGAAAATCTTTAGAAATGCTTTAGAAAGGAAAATGCTTTAGAGCATTTCTAGCCAATTTTTTCCTACACTTATGAAAAAAATATTTTCTCCTTAGTTAATTTTTTGTTTTTCCCAGAGTTTTAAAAATTGTGCAGTCTTGTAAATAGGGAATTGGTAGTATTTCATAGCCAACTGGGATTGCTTATGAAAAATCAGAAGTGTTACTCCAAAATATTAGAGCTCAAACTAGTTTTGTTGAACATCTTATTAGTTATAATTTTCAAAGTAAATTTCTTTTCATGAGTCACACCTTAGAATGTAGGGACTGTTTGTGAGGAGTTTAGACTGAGGAAAGTTGATTGGTTGACACCCTGGTGTCTTGGGAGCTAGAAGTCTACTAAAGTGGCTGCCCAAATATGTAATTATTATTTGCAAAGAAAATTTCACAGATGTAAATAATCAGGTATAATATGAAATACCTTCAATTACTTAGATTATGGGATTCCTGACTTGATGAACATTTATGGATTTGCTTGTCATTGGCTATGAGGTTTGAGTTGAATTTTCTGATTTGAAGACTATAATCTGAGCTTTAAAAATTTTTTATGATTAAAATGGAAAAAGGATATAATATGAGGCAATATTTGAAAGCAATTGCTCAGACCTGCAGTTTGATGTCTTTGTTATTATCCCCTCCACCAGCAAAGGGCAGGAATACAGCAAGCGCGACAGAGCAGAACCATGAGCAGCAACCTCTCCCAACCGGCTTTGCAGCTTTGCTATGAGAATGTGAACGGGTCCTGCAGTAAGACTCCCTACTCTGCTGGCTGCCTGGTGATGCTGTATGCAGCCTTTGGCTCTGGGGCTGTGCTGTCTTTGGAAACCTCCTGGTGATAATCTCAGTCCTCCATTTCAAGCAGCTGCACTCTCCAGCCAACTTCCTGATCGACCCTCTGGCCTGCGCTGACTTCTTGGTGGGAGTCACCGTGATGCCCTTCAGCATGGTCAGGTCCGTGGAGAGCTGCTGGTACTTTGGAGCTAAGTTTTGTACCATTCACAGCTGTTGTGACGTGGCATTCTGCTACTCTTCTCTCTTCCACCTGTGCTTCATCTCCATGCACAGGCACATGGCTGTTACTGACCCCCTGGTCTGTCCCACCAAGTTCACAGTGTCTGTGTCAGACATTTGCATTGCTGTCTCCTGGATTCTGCCCATCCTGTATAGTGGTGCCGTGTTCTACACAGGTGTCAATGATGATGGGATGAGAAGTTTAGTAAGTGTTTTCAACTGTGTAGGGGGTTGTCAAATAGTTGTCAACCAAACTTGGGTTTTGATAAACTTTCTGTTATTCTTCATACCTACCCCTGTTATGATAGTCCTTTACAGTAAAATTTTTTGGGTAGCCAAACAACAAGCTATAAAAATTGAAAGTACTAGGGGTCCTTCCTCAGAGTCATCTTCAGAGAGTCACAAAGCCCGAGTAGCCAAGAGACAGAGAAAAGCTACCAAAACCCTGGGGATCGCGGTGGTAGCATTTAATATTTGCTGGTTACCATATACAGTGGACACATTAATCGATGCTTTTATGGGGCTCATTACACCTGCCTATATTTATGAGATTTGCTGTTGGGGTGCATGTTATAACTCAGCCATGAATCCCTTGATTTATGCTTTATTTTATCCTTGGCTTAGGAAAGTCATAAAACTTATTTTAAGTGGGGAAATTTTAAAGCATAGTTCATCAACTGCAAGTTTATTTTAAGAATAACTGTGAGCACTGTATTGAGAAAATAAAAAAATTTTTCAAAATTAAGAATTTACAATGAACTTAAATTAAGAAGCACATACAACCATTAAAATTGGGGGAATATAGTATTTTTTAAATTACCCAAACAGAAATTCAAGGGAAAGTAAAATCTTTAAATTATTGCAAAGATATTTGCTACATTAAATAGTAAAAAATAAAGCACTTTACACGTCACCTGTATTGTATTTTGTACATGTACTTGCCACATGCCTTTTTTTTTTGCCCAATTTGCTGACTTCTAAATTTCATTTTCAGATGTGATGCTTCTTGTCTTTTTCTATGCTCATCTCTAGGTCACTTTCAAATGTTTTCTTTCTCTGTCTGTTAGTTTGCTAGGGCTTCTGGAATCAAGTGGCTCCAGCTGGGTCGCTCAAACCAAGACTCGTGTTCTCAGAATTCTAGAACCCAGAAGTCCAGGATGAAGGTTTCCGAGTGGTGGTGTCTTCTGAGGGTCTCTCGCTTTGACTTGCAGGTGGCTCTTTTTTCACATGCTCTTCCTGTGTGTGTGTCTGGGTTCTAATTTCTTCTTAGCAGGACAGCAGTCCTATTGAATAGGGAACACCATACACACCCCATTTTAACTTAATTACCTCTTTAAAGACTGGAGCACTGGGGCTAGGAGTTTAACACATGAATATAGGGTGACACAATTCAACCCACAGCCACAGCCCAGTTGTGATGACGCTTGCACCAAGCTGTTTATCTGCTGCTTTCCTGAAGTTCTTCCCTTGCCCCTCAATGTCTGTGTCTCCCAGGAGTAGGGAGGGAGGGCAGCAAGTAAGCTCCTTGTGCTAATGGCTGTGCAGAATCTTGAGTGCTCCACCACGGTGTTGTGGGAGCAACAGTTCAGCCTGTGAACTGCAGAAACTTTGCAGGTGGAGAAATCTACCACAAAGGGCAACCACAGTGATTATTAACAAAGTGAAATGCAAGTGGTTTGTTGTCACCAGTGGTTTTCATTTCAACAACTTTTATCATCTGAAATAGAAATAAATTTATGCATCTGTTCTCAGTTTTTCTCACCTAAAATTTGTGAATACAATAGTCCCATCGTTTATGTGCAGGATGCAGATCAAGATTCCCATGGATCCTGAAACTCTAGATAGTACTGAACCTTTTTTTTTTTTTTTTTGGTTTTTCTCCGGTACCGGGAACCGAACTCACGACCTTGTGCTTGCCAGGCAGACACTTTTTCTGTTGAGCTAAATCCCCAGCCCCTGGTACTGAACCTTATATATAGCATAAATTTCCATATATATGACCAAGTTTATAACTTAAGCATAATAATAGCTAATAATAAAACAAAGCAATCATAAAAATATGTTATAATAAATTTTAGATCAGTATGATCTCTGACACAAATTATCTTACACTGTACTCATCCTTTTTGTTCCTGTGATGTTAGATGAAACAAATCTTACATGAAGATATGAATTCACAAACCAAGTTGGTTACTTAGTAATGGGTGGGTTGGTAGCTATACAGAGGGCATATACTGCACAGTACGATGGTTCATGACACGCAGAATGGCGCTCCATTTAATGCTTATGTATTGTTTATTTCTGAAATTTTCCATTCAACCCAAGTTGACAGCAGATAATTGAATTGCAAAAACGAAGCCTGGGGAGACATGGGAAGGACAACTGAATTTAAATTTCCCAGAATGTTCTGGGGTGAAACCTTATGCACCAGTCGTGAAACTAAAAGGCATTACATTAAAAAAAAAAAAATCACCCTATAATTTTACATTTTGCTCTGTGGAATAATTTACGTATGTGATTCAATAAAAGTCAATTTGGAATTCACATCTAGAATATCTTGTGTAATGAACCTAAATTGTAGAACAGCAGTGGTATATAACCTTTGTTTCTCTTTTTTGTATGTTCTTCTGTGGAGTCATTAATTAAAATTATTGAAGTATTTTTTCATTGGTTTCCAATGTTTTTCAAACAACTTGTTTTGTAGAGCACAATTATGTGTCAAGTATTCGTATCAGCAATGACTAAGAATAAAATAGTGTTATAGTATTTTCCTTAAGGAAAATAAGATTGAGAGGAATGTTAGCAACACATTGTATTTATGTTTTTCTCAAATTTTTATTGCTGTATTTTGCAATACATAATGAGTAAATTCATCAGGGTGAATTGGTTCATGTAATCATCACATCTTGATTCTTTCTCCTGCCACTTTACCTCCCCTCCCTCCCAGCTCCCCCAAATCAAGATCTCCTTTCCAGCCTTTCAAAGAACCAACTTTTTGATCCATTCATTCTGTTTTGGGAATTTTGTCTCAATTTCATTGATTTCTACTCTGACCATTTTAATTTCTAGTAGTTTAAGATGTGGATTCTACTTGTCTTTCTAAGCACTTCAGATTTATTATTTGGGATCATTCTATTCTTTTTATGTGTGCATTTACAGCTGTAACATTCCCTCTTAGGACTGCTCTTTGTGTGCTATATGTTTTGGCCTGTTGTGGTTCCACTATCACTCAATTCAAAGAACAGTTCTATTTCTTCTATGATCCATTGATTATTCAATGATGTTTTATTTAATTTCCATATGTTTGTATAGTTTCAGGGGGTTCTTTTACTGTTAATTTCTAGGTTCATTCCTCTCTCTTGAAAGTATGCTAGAGATTATTTCAATCCTTTATATTTATTAAGCATGCATTATGATCTAAAACATGGTCTATTTCACTCTTTTTAAAATCTTTTATTTTAAAGAGAAAAGAACCAAAACAAATTAACAAACACACAGACATAAACAAAACAACATAAAAATAATAAAAGCAATACAGAATTTCACACAAGGTGATAGGAAATTAACAACAATTGTTGTATTACCTACTGTTGTCCTCAAATTGATTACTCAGATAAACAAATATAAGCCTGTAGGATTGATCAAACAATTAAACATCAACTGTTCCTTTCCATAAAGCTATAGAAATTAGTAGTACAATTATCTTAACTATCTTGTATATATATATTTTTTCCCTTACTTTTTTTTTTCTTTTCTCTTTTCCCTCATCATAGTCATTTTTTCCTTTGGAGGATTTTCTTTCCTTTTCACAATATCTATCCAGTCCTCAGTTGATGGGCATTTTTTTTTTTTTTTTTTTTTTTTTTTTGGTTTTTCTCCGGTACCGGGAACCGAACTCACGACCTTGCGCTTGCCAGGCAGGCGCTTTTGCCGCTGAGCTAAATCCCCAGCCCCTCGATGGGCATTTTGGTTGTTTCCAAGATTTAGCTGTTACAAACTGCACTGCTATAAACAAGGGTACACATATATCGCTGTGGTATGTTTTCAGTTCTTCTGGAAAAATACTCAAAAGGGAAATAGCTGGTTGAATGAAACCTCTAATCCTAATTTTCTGAGGAATCTCCGGACTGATTTCCATAATGGTTGCACCAGTCTAAACTCCCAGCAACAATGGAGAAGGGTTCCATTTTTACCACAACCCCTCTAGCATTTGTTATTGGATGATTTCTTGATGACAGCCATTGTTTCTGGGGTGAGATGGAAACTCAGTGTTGTTTTAATTTGCATTTCTCGAATGATTAATGGTGTTGAACATTTTTTCATATATTTATTCGCCATTTCTTTTTTTTTTTTGTCTGAGAAGTGCGTATTCATCTCAGATGCCTGTTTTTGTATTGGGTCTTTGAATTTGAGGGGCCTGATTTTTAAAAATTCTCTATATGTTCTAGATAGAATTCCCTTGTCCAAGGGACAGTTGGCTAAAATTTTTCCCAATTTGTGGATTTTCTTTTTACTCTGTTGGTGATTTCTTTATATTTGCAATAAGATGAGATCCCAGTTGTTGATTCTTTGAAATATTTCCCATGCAGTTTGGTTTTTGTTCATGAACTCGGTGCCTACCCCTATATCTTCAAGAGTTTTACCTAATTTTGCTTCTAGTAGATTTACTGTTTCTGTTTTAATATTTAGATCTTTAATCCATTTTGACTTTAGTTTAGTACATGGTGATAGACATGGGTCTAGTTTCAGTTTTTGGCATGTGGCAAGCCAATTTTTCCAGCACCATTTAGTAAAGAGGCTATCCTTTCTTTCTGTAAACTTGTTTGGCCCCTTTGTCCCCTTTGTGATAAGGTGGTTGAGTGTGGCTGGTGGTTATGATAAGGGAGTTGATAAGGTGGTGGTTCTGGCTGCATTTTTTTTTAATTTTAAAAATAAAAGGAGGAAAACATTAACAGACAGACAACATTTTACAACATAGCAAAAGAACAGTACAGACAACACAGAGTTACAAACAAAGTGGTAGGGAATTAACAATGGTTGTTGTATTACATATTGATATCTTCAAAGTGGCTTCTCATGAAAACAGATATAGAAATGCAATACTGATCAACCAAAGATTCATTGACAGTTTCTTTCTGCATAGAAATAGAAGACAAAAGAGCAACCATGTTAACTATCCTGTATATACATACATACAAAATTTCTACTTCTTTCCCTTCTCTGGCTGCATTTTTAATTCAGTTCCATTGATCCTCAGGTCTGTTTTCTTGCTAATACCATGATGATTTTATCACAGTAGCTTCGTAGTATAATTTCAAGTCAGGGATTTTGATGCCTCTTGCCTTGCCTTTGTTGCCCAGGATTGCTTTTGCTATTCTGGGTCTCTTCTGTTTCCAGATGAATTTTAGGAATGTTTCCTCTAGATTTTTGCATTACTAATGGTATTTTGATTTGGATTGCATTAAATCTGTATAACAATTTTGGGAGTATGGCTGTTTTCACACTGTTGGTTCTTCCTATCCGAGGAATGTCTTTCCATTTTCTGAAATCGTCTTTGATCTCTTTTTTCAGAGTACAGTTTTCACTGTATAGATCTTTTACTTACTTTGTTAGATTGATTCCTAAGTATTTCAATATTTAGGGTGCTATTGTGGAAGGTATAGTTTCCTTCATTTCTCTTTGAGTGTGTTTGTT